GGGACGGGAGCGGAGGCGCCGCGCAGGCAGCTCCGGTCTCGGTCTCGGAGGGGAGCGGGCACCTCCCTCCCGCCCGCAGGGCCGGACCCCGCCTCCAGGCCGCGGGGCGGCTGCGGGTCCGCGGGGCGGGGCAGGCCCCGGTCCTCCGCGGGAGGCGGAGGGCGGCGCGCCGCTCGGCCCCGCCCCGGGGCGGCCCCGCCGGAGCTGCGGAAGGTCGGACCGGGAGACCGGCCTGCGGCTCCCGCCGGCGCCCGCCTCCCCCTCCCCTTCCACCTCCCCCTCGGGGCGGCCCGCCTCCCCCTTTCTCCTCCCTCCGGGGCCCGGCCCGCCTCCCCCTTCCTCGCCTCCCTCCGGGGCCCGGCCCGCCCCCTTCCCCCCCCAACCCCCACCCCCCCCCCCGCCGCCCCGGCCTCCGGGCGCTCCGACCGGGCCGCGCAGGTGCAGGTGTGGCCCCCGCCCCCCGGCGCATCGCGGGCGCCATGGCGCGGGGAGACGTCCCGCAGGACAGGCAAGTTGGGGGCCAGGGGTGCACGGGAACCGGGGGGCCGGGGGTGCGCACACGGGAACCGGGGAGCTGGGGGGTGTGCACACGGGAACCGGGGGGCAGGGGGTGCGCACACGGGAACCGGGGGGCAGGGGGTGCAGGGGAACCGGGGAGCTGGGGGGTGTGCACACGGGAACCGGGGGGCCGGGGGTGCCGGGGAACCGGGGGGCAGGGGGTGCCGGGGGGCCGGGGGTGTGCACACGGGAACCGGGGAGCCGGGGGTGCCCGGGGGCCGGGGGGCCGGGGGTGCGCATGGAATCCGGGCCGCAGGCGGCGCTCCCCGCTCCCGGCCCTGAGGCTCCGCGGGGCGAACGGGACTCGGTCCGGAGCCGGGATGGGGGGCGCTGAGCCGCTGGGGGGGGGGCGGGGCGGGGCGGGAGCGGCGCCCTCGGGGTGACCTCTGACCGCTCCCCGCAGCTACCACCTGGTCGGGGTCAGCTTCTTCGTCCTCGGGCTGGGCACGCTGCTGCCCTGGAACTTCTTCATCACGGCCATCCCGGTGAGCCCGGCCCCCTCCGTCCTCCTGTGCCCCCCATCGGCCCGCAGCCCGGGCCTGGGAGCGGGGCCTCCGGGAGCGGGGCCTCCGGGAGGGGGGCCTCCGGGAGGGGGGGGCCTCCGGGGGGGGGGGGCCTCCGGGAGCGGGGCCTCCGGGAGCGGGGCCTCCGGGAGGGGGGGGCCTCCGGGAGGGGGGGCCCTCCGGGAGGGGGGGGCCTCCGGGAGCGGGGCCTCCGGGAGGGGGGGGCCTCCGGGAGCGGGGGGGCCTCCGGGAGCGGGGGGGGCCTCCGGGAGGGGGGGCCTCCGGGAGCGGGGCCTCCGGGAGCGGGCCCCCCGGGAGCGGGGCCTTGGTGGCCAGGAAGGTCAGCTCTTGGGGCTGCCCATCCTCATCCTCCGGCGCAAGGCCACCGGCTGGGAGCTCCGTGCTGGGCACCCCAGCACCAGCGACAGGCCCGTGTGCGGTGCCTTCACCCGTCCTCGGAGTAACCGCTCCCGCTGTGGCTGCCCCAGGCCTCCGCGGGGCATGGAGGATCAGCAGACACAGGACGCCCCGTCCTCAGCTGAGTCCCCCGGGAGGCAGCACCGGAGCGGTTCTCCGGGCCCTGGCCATCCAGTACCACCTTAGACGCTCCCGGTGCCTGCCCCGTGCTGGGCCCCGCACTGGGCCCCGCACACCCCAAAAGGAATTAGCCCCCCTCCCGGTCTAGAAGGCAAGGCGGGGCCAGAGCTGATTAATAATGTAGCAGGACACCGCCGGCCTCCGGGGGAGCAGGCCTGTGGGCGCCGGGAGGGACCGGAGCCAGGGGGGGCGGAGGGGGGGGGTCTGAAGGCCCCGATGCTGGTCCTGAGCCTCAGGCTTTGCCCCGGGGCCCTGGGGAGCCGTGGGCATCGGGAGGGAGGGGAGCGGGTTCGTTCCGCAGGGACTGTGGTCGGAGCGACTGGTTGGCCGGCAGGCGGCTCTGGCCGGCTCGCTGGCGCATAAACACTCAGGAATCCAGAAGCTGCGGCCGGTGGCGGGGGGGCCGGGCCGGGACACGGATGAAGAGGGGCGATAGAGAGGAGTGAGGTTCCCGGGGCCTGGGCTCTGTTCCCGGTCTCAGCTGCTCGGTTCGATGCACATCCACTGAGCCCGGGCAGTGCCAGGTGCCGGGAACACACGGACAGACAGCCGGTCCCCACAGACACCCCCCCGAACCCGCCGAGCAGGGCGGCTCTGCGGGTGCGCTGTGGGGTGACCGTCCCCCTCCCCCCGGACCCCGCAGTACTTCCAGGGCCGGCTGGCCGGGCCCAACAGCACTCTCCTGACCTTGGGCGCCAACCACACGGGCCCCGCAGACACCTTCAACTTCAACAACTGGGTGACGCTGCTGTCCCAGCTGCCCCTGCTGCTCTTCACGCTGCTCAACTCCTTCCTGTACCAGTGGTGAGAGGCCGCCCTCCTGGTTCCTGCCCCACCCCCTGAGGCTCCCTCCCGGCCCTCCCTCCACACCCCTGCATCCTCCCCCCCACCCCCACGGCCCAGCCCTGGGCTTCCCCTCCCGCCACCTCCTCGGCCTGACCTGGACCAGCTGACGCCCACTCTGCCCCCCTCTGTGAGCAGCATCCCTGAGACAGTGCGGGTCCTGGGCAGCCTGCTGGTCATCCTGCTGCTCTTCGCCCTGACGGCGGCCTTGGTCAAGGTGGACATGACCCCCGGGCCCTTCTTCTCGGTCACCATGGCCTCTGTCTGGTTCATCAACTGTGAGGACCACCGCCCCTCCCCCTCCCTGGCACCCCTTCCCCCCCGGACTTCAGCCCAGCCTCCTTTTGTAACGAACAGGGCCCAGTGTATACAAAAAGGGGAGGCAGCAGCTGCGCCCATGTCCCTGATGAGAAACTGAGGCCCGGAGGGAGAGGAAAGGTCACTGTGGCAGGCCCCCATTGACCTAAGAGCTGGCCTCCAGACCCTAGACCTCAAGTCCATGGCTGCGCCTCAGGAGAGCAGTGAATGGGGGTGTTAGACAGAGTGCCAGGAGCCTCCTGCCTGCCAGCCCCATCCAGAGCCGCAGTGTGTCCTGCTGACCCCCCCCCAGGGAGCCCCTGAGCTCCCCAGCTGAGCGGCACCCCCCTCCGTGTCCCCCCCCCCCCAGCCTTCTGCGCGGTCCTGCAGGGCAGCCTGTTCGGGCAGCTGGGCACCATGCCCTCCACCTACAGCAGCCTCTTCCTCAGCGGCCAGGGCCTGGCGGGCATCTTCGCGGCTCTCGCCATGCTCATGTCCATGGCCAGTGAGTGGACCTGAGCGGCCGGGGGGGTGGTGGCCTCTGGGACTGTGGGGGGCGGGAGAGGGTGCCAGGAGGGAGGTGCTGTGGGTTCTGGGTGAGACAGAGGTGGCGGGAGCTGGGGATTGGGTTTGGGTTCTGCAGAGAGAGTGACTGGTGAGGGCTGTGAGAGCTTGGAGCCAGGGGCAGGATTCCGGAGGAAAACAGGGACCTGTGGCTGCAGGTGAGGCTGAGGCGAGGAGGAACAGGTTAGGGATTCAGATAGATTTGTCTTTTTTAAAAAATATATATTTTATTGATTTTTTACAGAGAGAAGGGAGAGAGATAGTTAGAAACATCAATGAGAGAGAGTCATCGATCAGCTGCCTCCTGCACACCCCCCACTGGGGATATGCCTGCAACCAAGGTACATGCCCTTGACCAGAATCGAACCCGGGACCCTTCAGTCCCCAAGCTAACGCTCTATTCATTGAGCCAAACCGATCTGTCTTCAAATCACAGCTCCTCTGCCCCCTAGTGGCAGGGCATTGGACAAAGCACCTTACCGGTGTCCCTCCCCTCACCAGGATGGTTGTTATGGTCCCGTTATCCGATTGTAAGGAGCATGCAGTAAAAATGAGCACATAAAAACCCCAAACAAACAAACAAACAAACAGCACAGTGAGAGTGAGAGAGGTGAGGGCTGGGCTGGGCCGTGACCGGACTCCCGCGTGTGTTGTGAGGCGTGGCAGAGGCCAGGAGGCGAACCGGAGGAGGTCAGACTAGGAAGTGGGACCAGCCACCTCCCGGCTGCAGCTGGAGTTTCCTCGCAGGTGGCGTGGACGCCCAGACCTCTGCCCTGGGGTACTTCATCACGCCGTGCGTGGGCATCTTCGCGTCCATCGTGTGCTACCTGCGCCTGCCCTACATGGTGAGAGCGTCTCAGACAGACAGCCCTGGCCGGCCCGAGGTCCCCCAGCCCCAGGCCGGATCCCCAAGGGAGCCAGCCACCAGGGCGCCCGGGGCCCCGGCTCAGCCAGCGGCGGCGGGTGGAGGGACCCATGACTGCCTCCCGCAGGAGCTCGCCCGCTACTACCTGGCCAGGAAGCCGGCGCCGGCGCAAGGTCAGGAGCTGGAGACCAAGGCTGAGCTCCTGCAGGCCGGTGAGCCCCGGGCCCGCCGGGGGGCGGGGAGGCCCAGAGGGAGCTAGGGGCACCCCCAGGGGAAGATGCCCTTCTGTCTCCAGCTGGAGCCCGGCCCCTCGTAGTAGCCTTGTATGAGCAGAGGCAGAACAAGTGCCAGGAGCGAAGCCCGCCCTCTGCCCCTCGGGCCTCCGAGGCCCCCCGGTAAGCGGAGGCAGTAGCGAGTCCCGGATCCGAATGCATCCGTGTTTGAGTTCCGGCTTCTCAGCATCCAAGCTGTGTGGCCTCAGCCAAGTCCCTAGGCCCCTCTGAGCCCCCGCTTCCTCACCCTGAGCCCCGGCTTCCTCGCCCGTAGAGCCGTGGCAGTGAGACGGTCCATTCGAGGTGCTCAATCCGCCCGGCACACGCATGTGCTTAACACACAGCAGCTGAGCGTTTTCCCGTTGTTACTCCCGGTTCCCTGCCCCCGGGCTTCCTCGCTGGGAACCTCCCTGCAGAGGCGAGGCTCACGGGCACGACCCCGACGCCCCTCTGCCCCAGATGAGAAGAACGGGATCCCCCGCAGCCCCCAGAAGGCGGCCCTGACCCTGGAACTTGACCCTGAGAAGGAGCCGGAGCTGGAGCCAGAGGAGCCCCAGAAGCCAGGAAAACCTTCTGTGTTCGTCGTCTTCCGGAAGGTTTGGCTGGGATGTAACCCACCCCCGCCGGCCCCCCCCAGAGGCTCAGCGTGGAAGGGGCCGCCCCGAGGCGGCAGGGGCAGAGCATGGCGGGGGCACGGCTGGGCTGAGCCGGTCCCGGTGCCGTGCTCCTGGGCCAGGGGTCGGCGGGAGGGGGGGCTGAGCGTTAGGCCCCAGGCCTGCCCCTCCCCCCTGCTCACACCCCTGCCTCCGGCTCCCAGATCTGGCTGACGGCGCTGTGCCTTGTGTTGGTCTTCACAGTCACCCTGTCCGTCTTCCCCGCCATCACCGCCATGGTGACCAGCTCCACCAGTCCTGGGAAGTGGAGTGAGTGCTGGGCCGCAGAGGGGGCTGGGCAGGGGGGCGGAGGGGAGGGAAGGGGCGGGGAGTCGGGACCGGGATGAGCCCCTCTCTCTCTCTCCCAGGTCAGTTCTTCAACCCCATCTGCTGCTTCCTCCTCTTCAACATCATGGACTGCCTGGGGCGGAGCCTGACCTCGTACTTCCTGTGGGTGAGCACACCTGGGGGGGGAGTGTGGCCTGAGGTTCTGGGAAGCAGCTGGCTATCCGAGGGAGAGCACAGGATGGTGATGTCCCAGCCAAGGTCCAGCTGGTCTGGGCCGGACCGGGACAGACACCAGGTGGCAGTGAGCACGGCTCCGGGAGGCCTGCCAGCCGAGGCTGGCACCGGGCGCTCCCGAACTCGGACACTGTGTCCGGTTGACCCTCAGCATCCGGCCCAGGGCCAGCCCTCGGTGCATCGAGACCCGCGTGAAGGTCTCAGCACCAGTGAGGGGGCACAGCGCTCCTGGCGTTGGCACTGCTTTCGCCAAGGTGCTGCTTCATCAAATGAAACCTTTCAAGGAAAGCAGGTCAGGGAGGGGCTGTCTGACCCCAGCAGGATGGGGCTTGGATGCCCAGCTCCCAGTCCCATTCAGCAGCCCCCTCCGCGCCAAAGGGGTCTGTGGAGCCCCCAGGGGTGTTCGGAGGAACCAGGTTTGAAAACCAAAGATGCTGCCTGCGGCCTCTTCCGGTTCTGCCCGGAGAGACCGCAGGCTGGCGGCAGGAGAGGCAGAGGCCGCTCCTGGCTTGCTAGGTCCTCACCAGCTCCTGTGGGGCGGCTCCGGGGCAGAGAGGCAGAGTCTGGGGGCGCCCCTGGGGCCGGCCTGATCCCCCTTCCGCTGCAGCCGGACCAGGACAGCCGCCTGCTGCCCCTGCTGGTCTGCCTGCGCGTCCTGTTCATCCCGCTCTTCATGCTGTGCCACGTGCCCCAGCGGTCCCGGCTGCCCACCCTCTTCCCGCAGGACGCCTACTTCATCACCTTCATGATGGTCTTCGCCGTGTCCAACGGCTACCTGGTGTCCCTCACCATGTGCCTGGCGCCCAGGTCCGGGGCCGCCTGGGAGGGCCTGGGGGTGGGGGGTGGGTTAGCTCTTTGAGGGGGGCATCCTGCAGGGGGCTCACCCTGCTCTGGCCAGCCCTGCCCCGGCTGCCTCTGGGCCTCGCTGTGCCACCCCGTCGGCCCCGGAGTTCGGTGGACAGTCACTCCACTGGCGCCGGGACCTCCTCTCCGGGCCTCAGTTTCCCCACCTGTGAAGTAAACGGGTTGGGCTGTTCTTTCTTAGGGCCCACCCACTCCCCGAATTCTCAGTGGACGGGGTGCTAACGGTTTGCTCAGAAGCAGAGTTCATAGGCTGTTGGTGTCGGGGCCACGTAGCTGAGAATCCAGAGGAGCTGGGCGGGCGGTTTGGGGACGTTTTACCCAGAGGGGAAGCCGTTGGATCTGGAATCCAGTAATCCTGGGCCCCGGGGGCCTAGAGATGCCCTCGTCCTCATTTCAGCTCAGGAAAGGAGTCCGGAGACAGGGCTGAGGGTGGGTCCGCACAGACCAGAACTCGGGGCGCTGTGGGGGGCGGGTGTGTTCTGAGAGCGGCCCCCTGTGTGTGTGTCGCAGGCAGGTGCTGCCCCACGAGCGGGAGGTGGCCGGCGCCCTCATGACCTTCTTCCTGGCGCTGGGGCTGTCCTGCGGAGCCTCCCTGTCCTTCCTCTTCAAGGCGCTGCTCTGACGGCTCCGCTTCCGGCTCCTCTCGCCCCCGCGGAGCCCAGGCCGGGCAGGGGGTGGCGCCGGCTCAGGCCTCTGCTGGGCCGGCCCCTGGGCCTGGAGGTGCTGCAGGAGGAGGCAGGTGCTGCCTTGGGGTGACGCCAGCCCTCACCCAGGCCGGAGGCCCGCAGAGACTGACGGATCCAGAAGCACAAGCCCCGGCTGCGCAGGTGGCGGCGGGGGAGGCCGAGGGCCCAGCCCTGCCCGGCATCGGAGCGCGTGTACTTGTTGGGACAGAAAACTGAGGAGGGAGACTGGGCCCCCTCTCGAGGGAGACTGAGGCCGCGGGGGCCGTGCCCAGGGCGGCGGGTGTGGGCCGGCCTCGGGCTCCGTGTGGGAGTGTGGCCGGCCGGGGCAGGGACTCCCCTCCGCCCCAGGCCTCAGTGGCCCCGGGGCAGGTCCCTCGGAGCCCAGAACAGAGGGTGCGGGGAGTCGGGGGGAGCAGGGAGAGAGACAGATGTTAGGGGTCCGAGGGTGCGCCCAGGACCCCCTGGGCCTCAGACAGTGTGTTTGTTGCCGACACTTGCTGTGTCCGTGCCCAGGGCCAGCGGGGCCCCAGGTCTGTAGCTAGCCTGCATGTGTGCTCTTAGCGTGCAACGCTCCCCGCGCCTGCTCTCCCAGCGGCACTGAGGCCCTTGGGGGAGCCCGGCAGGACTGTACCCCCCTTTGTACAGGGGAGGAGCCCGAGTCCCGATTCACGGCAGAGCTGGGCCCTCCCCCACCCTCCCCCCGTAGGTGCCAGCCCGATGCCCGCGTCTCCCTCCCGGGGCTGGAAGCACAGCCCTGGGCACTCACCCCGCCTTTCTGCGTTTTCTCTCTCTGTTCCTGCTCCCGGGTCCAATTACAATCCTCTTCGTTTGTAAAATGTGGTCTCTGAGTCCTTCTTTCCAAAGTGCCGTCAGCTCCGTTGGCTCTGATGAGCTGGGCGGGGTGGGGATGGTTGTACCCATTTGGCAGATGGGATGACTGAGGCCCGGGAGGGGCAGGGACTTGTGAGCACTCCTGCAATGGCCAAGGGATGTGGACCTGCAAGGAGCCCTGGACTCCTGGGCAGAGCACCGGGCCTCATGGACAACCAGCACTCTTCCAGGCCCCTCGGCCTCACAGGCGTCCCTTTCTCAGAACCGGAGCCGTACTGAGCCAGCTGGCACTCGGGAGGGACGGAGGAGAGGCCTGCTTCTCACACGCACACGCACACGCACACGCACACACACGCACGCACCCCGGCACTGCCGTGCCCGGCCCAGAGAAGAGCACCTGTGAGGTTTTGTGGGTTTTGCCATTTCAGGCGCTGGCCTGGCTGCCCACGGGCCCTCCTGCCTGCTGTGAACGTTCACTGAGGAGCTTTCTATCGAGGCGGCTGAGCCGGGCCCCTGCTCAGAAGCCAGAGGCTGTTTTGATATCAAAGAGGAAAGTGAAGCAATATATGGCCTTGGCAGCTGAACTACAGCCCAAGAAGAGCCCAAGGGAGGATTCATTCTTTTGACCGAAATTCAGGGTGCCAGGCCCTGGCTGGTCGGGGACCCTGAAACAAAGGAGGAGGGGTCCGGATCCGAGGCCACAGGAAGAGTGAGAAGGTCCTGCGGGCCGTGTGACAGAGGCTGCAGGAGAGGCCGTGGGTCCTGCTGGGAAGTCAGGGCAGGCCTCCCAAAGGAGGCGCCCCCAGCTGGGTCTTGAGGGATGAGTCTGAGTGCTGGCCTGGCATGAGGGGAGGGCACCCCTGGCAGAGGCGCTGGAGAGAGAGATTCAGGGAACAGTGGGGACTTCGGGCAGGGGGTGGGGTGAGGGAGCCCCTAGGATGTGAGGGAGGCAGAAGAGAGGCTGAGGCTGGAGCAGTGGGTTGGGGACAAATGACAAAGAACGTTAGCGATGAGGACTCAGTGGGATTAGAGAGAGGAGGAGGGGGCTCTGCAGAGGCTGCTTAATTTAGGGGTCAAGAGAACTAACATCAAAGCCAGGCCTTGCAGAATGCAAGGTGGTTCAAGGTAGGAAACACATGGGTGGAAGACGCCATGCAGCACAGGACCAGAAGGGGGAAACCAATGCTCACCTCACCGGATGCAGGAAAAGCGTCTGACAAAACCCAAGGCTTCAAGACGAAAACACTCCCCCCCCCCCCCCCCCCGCCCCGGGAATAGATGGGAACTTCCCCAACCGGATAGGGCGTTCATGGAAAACCCACTACCAATGGCAGCTCAGTGTGAGAGTGAGCCTTCCCCCAAGGTCAGGAAGAGAGGACCCCTTTACCATGTCGTCTGTCCACCTTTGTACTGGGAGGGCTAGCCTGAGCCGTTTGGCAAGAAAGAGAAATAGACATCCAAATTGGAAATGAAGTAAAATACCCAGATCCACAGACGATAGAATACATACATATACAGAAAATCCTAAAGAATACACACACACATAAACACACACACACACACACACACACACGCGCGCGCGCGCACGCATGCACCACACACGCACGCACGTGCCTATTAGAGGTAATAAGTGAATTTAGTAAAGTTTCAGGATTCAAGATCCATACAGTAATATTTCTTCCCGTTGTTCTGATGAATGGGGTTTTTGTTTTTCTCTTTTTTTCAGAATATTGTATATTTTATTATTGGTACACTCTGTGTTGCATATCCTTCATTTTTAAAAATTATGTTTTCATTGATTTCAGAGAGGAAGGGAGAGAGAGATAGAAACATCAATGATGAGCCCTAACCGGTTTGGCTCAGTGGATAGAGCGTCGGCCTGTGGACTGAAGGGTCCCAGGTTTGAATCCAGTCAAGGGCATGTACCTTGATCCCCAATAGGTGGTGTGCAGGAGGCAGCTGATCAATGTTTCTCTCTCATTGATGTTTCTAACTCTCTATCCCTCTCCCTTCCCCTCTGTAAAAAATCAATAAGATATATTTTCTTAAAAAAAAAGAAACATCAATGATGAGAGAGTCATTGATTGGCAGCCTCCTGCATGCCCCCCACTAGGGATCAAACCTGCAGCCCCAGGATCGGAATTGAACCTGGGCCCCTTCAGGCCGCAAGCCAATGCTCTATCATCTGAACCAAGCCAACGAGGGCTAATGAGTGGGTTTCCCTCCCTCGCCAGGCCATCCTCTGACAGTAGCTGAGTGTCCTACAATGTAACTGTCTACTGGGGAGGGCATCAGGTCCACAAGCTAAGGACTCGGTCCCAAAAGACCGCTCCACTGCAGATGCCAAGGGCAAGTCCGGGTTGTAACCTGTACTTCTGAGCAACTGGCTATAAATCAGATCCCAGCACCCCTGCCCTGGGGCTCCATTAATTTGCTAGAGCAGCTCGCAGCACTGAGAGAGACATCTTCCTGCTGGATTACAGATTTATTATAAAAGCTGGAAGTCAGGACCAGCCAGACGGGAGAACTGCAGAGGGGAAGGTCTGTGGGAAGCAGCCCCCTTGGTAATGGCTTTTAACGGCTCTTTGGATGTCACCTGCCCCACTCCCCGCCGAGCCTGGCCAGGCCTCTCTGCCCACCAGGCCTCTCTGCCCTCCTCCGGCCCCTTCCAGGTGGCTTTGCTGGATATCGGCCAAGCCCCGTCACTATTTCTGTTCCCCTTCGAGGATAGCCCCGGGGAGTCTCCAGAAGCCTCGGACTTACTGGTTCAGAAAACAGGAATGGAGGCCGCTGTGCGGCCAGCATCGCAGGGGGTGACGGGGGGTGTAGTGGGCAGATGCCCGGCACCTGGAGGTGGAAAGTAAGTGTGTGGGCACCGCAGGTGAAAGGCAAATGCCCAAAGGGCCAGGTGGGCTGGAAGGTGCAGGGCTGAGATGTCGGCAAAGAGAAGACTTTGCAGAGGGGAGTCACTCTGACACCCCAGCGCTGTCTCCCTGAAGGAATGCAGGCCTGGCATTGCCAGATCTTCCAGAATTCACACGGAAGCTGGACATGGGGGTTTATGTCCAACCTCCTGATTCACAAAGTTAACGATCAATGTGCTTTCAATTGTGTCGGTGTTGTTTTTAGCCCCGAGCAGGTCATAGAAAACCCAAGTGGCATCCGATCTGGCCCCTGTGCCTCCGGTTTTCCAGGCCCGTGCTGACAGGCTCTTGTTTCTCCTCTGGCCCGGTCACCAGCGAACACCGAGGACAGCGCCCGTGTCCCCGCAGGCCTCGTTCCCGGGCCTCGCAGTTCCCGTCTGAGCAGCTCCGTGGGAGTCATTGTGGGGCCGTGGAATATGGGGCTCCTGGCCACTCTTCAGCTCCCCCTGCCGGCGGGGCGGTAGAGGGTCCCAGAGCACCCTCCCTCCTGCCCCAGAGCGCCTTCCCAAGATTCACAGCGCTCAACAGATATTGCCTGTCATGGACATAGCCCTTCCCACAGGCTCTCCTCTTCCAAAGAATCCACGACTCAATTATTCACACACTCATTCAGCACCTTTTGTATAAGGCTGGGGTTAGAACACTCAAGAGCTTCTGTGTGTGTGTGTGTGTGTGTGTGTGTGTGTGTGAGTGTGTGAGTGTGTGAGTGATTAGCACACAGGCCCCTGGCCAGAATCCCGGTTCCGGTCTTCCAGGTGCCACCACGGACCCGGGCCCTCGGTGTGGGAGGGAGAAAGGCATGCAGAATGCGGGAAGAGCCTGATGGGGGAGGAGGAGCGTGGAGAGCCCGGGCTCTGGTTGGATCACATTGTCCCCAGCGTGGTGGGTGCTCAGGCTGTGGAAAATAAAGAGCCACCCCCTGCGTAAAACGCGACCGACGAGGATGGGATTCGAACCCACGCGTGCAAAGCACAATGGATTAGCAGTCCATCGCCTTAACCACTCGGCCACCTCGTCCCACAGGGAAGCCTCGCCTTTCTAACTTCCCTTATCGCTCCTCTCCTCCGCACCGGCTGAGCCCTCCTGCACCCGGCGCTCTGGGCGGCCGGGCGGGATCCGCCGGCGGAGAAGCCGCGGAGAGAAAGGGTCTGTGCGTCCTTCCCTCCCGCCGCCCCGCGAACCCGCACCGCCCTTCGCCGGGCTGCGGCTGAGCTCCGCCGGGTCTCCCTCCCTGAGCCCGGGCCGAGGCTTCCGGACGCGGGAGGCCCGGGGTGCGGGGTCACGTCCCGGCGGAGGGAGTGGGTGCTGGTCGCTGGGAACCCAGCGGGGCCGCCGCGGGCAGAGCGGCGTTTGCAAAGAGCGCCGCTGGCGGCGGGTGCAGTCGCTCCTCCGGGCGGGCAGGGGGCGCGCTGGCACTCCCGGGGGCCGGGCACGGGCTCGGCTCGCCCCGGCCGCGCTCGGCTCTCCTCGGCCGCGCTCGGCTCGCCCCGGCCGCGCTCGGCTCGCCCCGGCCGCGCTCGGCTCGTCCCGGCCGCGCTCGGCTCGCCCCGGCCGCGCTCGGCTCTCCTCGGCAGGCTGCGGTAAATCCGGGCTTGCGGCGTTTGGCGAGGCTGCGGCCGGTGGTCCCCGCTGCGCGCCGCGAGCCCCGAGAGCCATGCACACGTTCCACGCCGTCCGCTGCGCCTTCTACCAGCTGCTGGTGGCCGCGCTGATGCTGGTGGCCATGCTGCAGCTCCTCTACCTGTCGCTGCTGTCCGGGCTGCACGGGCAGGAGGAGCAGGAGCAGTATTTGGAGTACTTCCCGCCGTCCCCGCGGTCCGTGGACCAGGTCAAGGCGCAGCTCCGCGCCGCGCTGGCCTCCGGGGGCGTCCTGGACGCCAGCGGCGACTACCGCGTCTACCGGGGCCTCCTGAAGACCACCATGGACCCCGACGACGTGGTCCTGGCCACGCACGCCAGCGTGGACAACCTGCTGCACCTGCCCGCCCTGCTGGAGCGCTGGGAGGGCCCGCTGGCCGTGGCGGTGTTCGCAGCCACCAAGGAGGAGGCGCAGCTGGCCACGGTGCTGACCCTCGCGATGAGCAGTCACTGCCCCGACGTCCGCGCCCGAATGGCCATGCACCTGGCGTGCCCCTCGCGCTACGAGGCCGCCGTGCCCGACCCCCGCGAGCCGGGCGAGTTCGCCCTGCTGCGGTCCTGCCAGCAGGTCTTCGACAAGCTGGCCAGCGTGGCCCAGCCCGGGGTCAACTACGCGCTGGGCAGCAACGTCTCCTACCCCAACAACATGCTGCGGAACCTGGCCCGGGAGGGGGCCAACTACGCCCTGGTGGTCGATGTGGACATGGTGCCCAGCGAGGGGCTGTGGCGCGGCCTGCGGGAGATGCTGGACCAGAGCGACCAGTGGGCCGGGACCGCGCTGGTGGTGCCCGCCTTCGAGATGCGGCAGTACCGCTACCGCCTGCCCGAGACCAAGGACGAGCTGCTGAAGCTCTACCGGATGGGCCAGGTGCGGCCCTTCTACTACGAGGTGTGCATGCCCTGCCAGGCGCCCACCGACTACTACCGCTGGGCCGACCTCCCCCCAGAGACCCTGCTGAGGCCTGCCTACGAGGTGTCCTGGCGGGACCCCTGGGAGCCCTTCTACGTGGCCGGAGGCAAGGTTCCCTCCTTCGACGAGCGCTTCCGGCAGTACGGCTTCAACCGCATCAGCCAGGTGCCCGGGAGGGGAGGGCGGGGGCGGGGGCGGCAGGGCGCGGGGGCGGGGAGCCCTGGGTGGGAGGTGGGCGTCGAGGCGGGAGAAGCGGCAGTTCGGTGGTGGCTGCGGGAGGTCCGGGATGCCCCTGGAGGACTGGGATGCCGGGGTCGGCTTCAGGATGTCCGTCTCGGCCCTAAAAACACCATCAGGCGTTGCTGACCTGTCTCTCCCCCCACAGGCCTGTGAGCTGCACGTGGCGGGATTTGTTTTCAAGGTGCTGAACGAAGGTTTCCTGATTCATAAGGGCTTAAAAGATCCCGTGGAGTTCCACCCCCAAAAGGAAGCCGAAAACCAGCACAATAAGCTTCTTTACCGCCAGTTCAAGCAGGAGTTGAAGGCCAAGTACCCCGACTCCACCCGTCATTGCTGAGTCCTTCCCTGCCCTCGTTTGAGAAGTGTCGCCTCCTCTCTCCTTGGGCTGCCCCTCGGGCCTGAGAGGGGTAAGAATCGGCACTCCACTTGGCAATGGTAGCTGTGGTGTTGGAACACTGGACTTTGGACACGGGGGGCTGGGATCCAGTCCCGGCTTTACCACTGAGTAGCTGCGTGGCCTTGAGCAAACCCCTTTCCCTCTCTGAGCCTGGCTGCCCCGTCTGGAAAAAGGGAGGTGGGAGTATCTACCTCACAGAACTGCTGGTTGGCTCAGAGGATCAAAACCTTGGTCCCCTCAATGCTATATGTGAAAACACTCCGTGTGAGCTTCGTCAAAATGTGAAGTGTTATTAATATTATTACAGTGTTATTGTTTTTACTGCTGTTATTATTAACAATCCTGGGTGGGTAGGCAGTAGGAGAGCAAAAAGTATGAATGGCGCCGCAGAGGGAGAAGTCTGAGTACTTAACAAAATGGGCTTTTTGCAAAGAAATCACATAAAGGCGTTGAGTTTAGTTCTTCGCTTTTGGGTTGTCCCGGGCCTCGCGGGTTCCGGAGAAGGGAAGGCTCTGCGGGTTCCGTACCCTAGAACAGACCGAGCTGTATGTGTGCCTACCGATGACGATGTAAATAAATGTGTTCACCACCACAGCTGGCTCCATTCCTCTCCCGAACCGGGCGGGCGGCGGGGCCGCCTCTGTCACGCCGCGTGGGGGTCGGAGGAAGGTGGCCGCGGACCCAGGGGCTCCACCTGCAAAGCCAGGAAGCTGAGGACCAGAGTGCAGGTCCACTGGTTGCTATGGAAACCAGTGCGCGGTATCCCAGCATGCCTCGCGCCAGCTGTCCAATCAGGAGCTTCCCAGCGGGCACCTCTTGATGACGAACGCGGAAGCGCGGGCAGGCCCCGCCTCCCAGTGAAGAGGGACCGGCGCAGCGGCCGGGGCGGCGGGCACCGGGCACCTGTCGGAGAGTCTCAGACGAGAGGCCGGAGGCTCCACTCCCTGCGGTGCGTACCGCCACCCGTGGCGCCCGGTTCGGTCTCCCCAGCTCGCCGGTCGGAGCCCGCCCCGCCTCCGGGGCCAGAGCGGAGACCTAACGGGCCGGACGCGCGCAGGGCCCGGGGCCGGGACGGAGCGGGGCGGGCGGCTCCGGGCGCGCCCCCGCGGAGGGGCTGAGTGGTCCTCTTCAAGGGTGGGGGCCGCGGAGGCCTCCCCTCGAGGTGCTCCCTTTCCGAAAAGGTCATTTGCACATGCACAGCGCCTTCCCACGCCCTCCCCCGGCGAACTGCAGCGCTCCAGTAGCAATGGCTGCGCCCTCTTTGCACCCGGGGTGAGGAGGGGAGGTTGTGGTTTGAGCTCATCAGTAGAATGAGAGGCACCTGCAGTAACCTGCACTCCCCCTCCTCCCCGCACCCCTGCTCCCGCTCTTCCTGGGCCGGGTTACGTTGCGTTTTACCAGTAAACGTAGTTCACAGTGAGAGGAATTGCAGGGCTTGGGAACTGTTGGAACCGAGGCTTGAGAATGGAAGCGAGGAGACTGGTTTGGAGAGCCGAGATTTTCAGATCAGGTTCAGATTATTTGTGAGATCGTTGAGGAAGTCCAGTTGTTTGACAAAACTCGAAATGCTGCCAGGAGGGCTAACAGAACACTGGGTTTGCTCCCGCCCCGTGGGCCTGGGGGCTACCAAGAGGAAAAGCCAACTCCTGCCTCGCAGACGTTCCATTTGCACTTGCAAACCCTCCAGTCATCAGGTGCCAGTTCTGTGCCAGGTGGAGGAGGTGCGGGTGCCACCATGCCCCGCCGAGGCTCCTGGCTGCAGAGACAGACATGTGATGGGCGAGTAGAGAGGAATGTAAGCAACTCGGCTTCCTGCGGGAGTGGCGACAAGACTGTGTCCAGAGAAGTGGGAAGAACGTGGCGGTGAAATGAACCCCTAGCAGGCGGAGGTGATCTGTGGAGCGGCCTAGTTATCTTCCCATTGGGTGATCTCGTGGCAGCATGTGGCACTGTCACCTCTCCTTCCTTCTAAAGTTCTCTTCATGACTGAGTTTCTCCTCCTCCGCCTCTTGGTAATTTCCTTCTCCTCTGCAGGGTCCTCACCCTCTACCCCTTTGGTGACGCTGAGAGTTCCATCGTGAATGTCTTCTCACTCCACACATCCCGCCTGGCTGCTTGCCCCCTCTCGCAGGCTCAGAAGGACTCGCTGTAGATCAGTGCCCAGATTTCTTTCGGAGGCTCAGACCCAGGTGCCCCAGCCCTGGCCCTCCCCTCATTTTGAGGTCTTAGCACGTGCTGCTCTTCTTGGAATGCTCCTCCCTCAGCCAGATTGGCCGCCTGTCCGGCCCGTGTCCGTCTGCAAGCCCCCCTGCCGCAGCAGCTCCCGGTCCCCGTTCGATGCCGCCCCCTGTGCCCCTGTGCCAGCTCTTCCCACATCGCTGTACCCGTCTGCTTCTTTGCCCTTTTCTCCCAGGAACTTGTAACCAGCTTGAGGTCAGAGACGGTCTGTCTTTCTGTCCATCACAGTTGTGGCCAGCTCCTACCAGAGTCTGAGGGTACCTAACATATATTAGAGTTTCACGAAATATTAGATGAGCGAATATAAGAAGGAATGCATAACAGTACTCGGCGTTGCTGAGAAGGCAGCTGTGATAAGCATTAAGAATATTGGCATCAGTCACAAGGGGACGGTGCGTTAACTGGAATTAGTGGCAGCTGACAGCGATGAAACAAACAGACAAGTGGGCGGTGAGAGCAGGAAGGGCACGTGTGCGCAGGACCTGAAAGGTGGAGCTGTGAGGGGAGTGGGTGAGGTTTTGTGTTCCTGCTCTTCCTCAATGAGCAGCCTGAAGGGCCGTGGGCAGGAACCGTCGGGAGGGAGAGTTGGAAATACAAGAGGGAAGGGAGCACTGCTGACAGGAAGTCCCAGAGGAAGCAAGAGGTGGGACTGGACGCAGGGCCCAGTGGGAGATGAGGTTGGGGGGAGTTCTCAGGAAGGGACGTGGAGGGCGTTACAGGCAGCAGGACCAGCACGAGGCAGGCGGGGAGGAAGGAAGTGCTGGTGTGTTTGGGACTGGCCGTTAGATGGGGGGGGGGGGGGGGGGGGGGGGGGGCGGTTTGAAGGAGCTGGACCCATAGTTGAAGGCCAGTGGGTGCGGCGCCTTGAAAGGCAGTGGGAGCCCACCCTGGGCCTCCCCATCTCGGGATGTGCGGCCTCACCCATGTGTGCTCAGGTCGTGGCTAGTCCGTCCCTTTCCCGGCCGCCCCAGCTGCGGTCAGGCTCTGCTCGGCTCCCCGAGGGGCCACTGACCTGCTTGGAGCTGGGGGCGGCGGCGAGTGGTGGCTCTGCCCCCTTCCAGAGCCCAGATGCCGCTCCAGCCTGCCAGCAAAGACACAGAAGAGATGGACGCCGAGGGGGACTCCGCTGCCGAGATGAACGGAGAGGAAGAGGAGAGTGAGGAGGAACGAAGTGGCAGCCAGACCGAGTCCGAGGAGGAGAGCTCAGGTGACACGCACACACACACACACACACACACACGCACACGCACACACACGCCTGCCCACCCCTCGGCCAGCCCTGACGGCCCTCTCGCCCCAGAGATGGACGACGAGGACTATGAGCGGCGCCGCAGCGAGTGTGTCAGTGAGATGCTGGACCTGGAGAAGCAGTTCTCGGAGCTGAAGGAGAAGTGAGCGCGGGCGCCCCGGGCGGCGGGCCTGGTGCGGGCGGAGCTGGCTGAGGCCAGGAGCTGCGCCTGTGCTGACGGTGAGCCCATCGTGCCTCCCAGGTTGTTCAGGGAACGCCTGAGCCAGCTGCAGGTGCGGCTGGAGGAAGTGGGGGCTGAGAGAGCGCCCGAGTACACCGAGCCCCTGGGGGGGCTGCAGCGGAGCCTCAAGATCCGCATTCAGGTGGCAGGTCTGCGGGCTGTCCTGTGCCCCTGGGGGCCCCAGTCTCCTTCCCTGTTCCCCTCCCAACCGATGGGCCCTCCCTCTCTCGTCCCTGTCCTCTGGGGGCGCTGGCGTCCCGGACAAGCCGGGCCTCTCACACACGCCCCCCCCCCCCCCTCGGCAGGGATCTACAAGGGCTTCTGCATGGACGTGATCAGGAATAAGTATGAGTGTGAGCTGCAGGGAGCCAAGCAGCACCTGGAGGTGACTGATGGGCGCCGAGGGAGGGGGACTCACGCCCGCCCCCCTCCCCCCTCTGACCGAGCTGCTCCCGCCTCTTCCAGAGCGAGAAGCTGCTGCTCTACGACACCCTGCAGGGGGAGCTGCAGGAGCGGATCCAGAGGCTGGAGGAGGACCGCCAGAGCCTGGACATCAGCTCGGGTGAGGCCCGGGCCAGCGCTGAGCGGCCTGCCCCCAGCCTGGCTCCGTCAGTGCCCGCTCCAGGGGAGAGGGAGGGGGGCGTGAAAGCCTGGCACACAGCGGGGGTTCGGGAAGAGGGGTCCCCTGCCCTCCGTTGCCCTTCCCTCTTTCCAGAGTGGGCGGTAACATGCTGACACTCCCACACATAAGCAGCCGCAGTCCCACCCTGTCCGTAGTGCCTGCGTCCCGGGCTCCAGGGAGGCGGGGACTGTCCTTGTCCCGCTGCCCCCTAACAAACGAAGACGAGCCCAGAGAGGCGTAGCGGCCTTCCCCAGGTCGTCCTGTGCGGCTGGGACCTGAACTCAGCTGCTGAGCCCCAGGCCCAGGGTCCTCTCCCCTCTCCTGGGAGCGGGGGGACGGGAAGGGCAGGCTACGAGGGCGAGGGGTCCTGGGAGGGCCAGCCCCGCGATCCTGACTCTGGGTCTGGGGCGCAGAGTGGTGGGATGACAAGCTGCACACCAGAGGCAGCTCCAGGTCCTGGGACTCCCTGCCGCCCAGCAAGAGGAAGAAGGCGCCCCTCGTCTCCGGTATCCTTCCACCCGCAGGCGGAGCGGCCAGGGCGGGCGCGTGTGCGCTGGCAGCTGCCTGACGCCTCACACACCTTGCCGGTCTGTCCCGGCAGCTGTGGCTTCTCTCTCTGCATCCCTGCGGGCTACACCGGGACCTCACATGTGGGTAGTTGCCTCTGCCCCCCTTAGGCTTTCTCCCTCTGGCACAGCCAGCACAGAGACGCCCTGGATCCTCACCCTGCGCCCAGCCCTGCCCTGGGTCCTGCAGGAACCGGGGTCAGGGAGGGCGGGTGGGCAGGCGGGGGACATGGGGTGCCGCTGTGGACGGGCCCCGGGGGCCTGGGAGGCCAGAGTTTTGAGAATGGACTGTGTGTAGATGGGGAAGGGGCCACATGGGGGACAGGGCGTAGGTGAGGGGCCTGGCCTGCTGACCATGAAGTGGGAGCGGCATCAGTGGGAGCCAGGGGAGGGGAAGCAGGAGTGAGGCTGGGCCCACCCTGCCCTCTTGGACTCGTTGAAATGGGCCATGGCCACACACACGCCCCTTCCCCAGGGAACCTGGGGGCCAAGAGGGACGGGTGGAGCCCAAGCGCCAGCCCACGCCCCGGGCACTGCCTCTTGGGAGCGCTCGCACGCCGCCCGAGGCTCCCGCCCTCCCCGGCATTGCTTCCTTAACCCTGTGGCAGGCCCTTACATCGTGTACATGCTGCAGGAGATCGACATCCTGGAGGACTGGACGGCTATCAAGAAGGTGGGTCTCCTGCAGGGCCTGCCCAGGCCAGGCCTGCTCTGCAGGCTCCCGCCCCAGCCTTTCCGAGGCCCCTGGCATCACTGCCCCTCACGCCCCCTTTGCCTGGGGGCTGCCCGGGAGGAGGGGCCTCTTTCTGGTTCCGGGGCGGGTTTTGATGGGATGGGGGAAGGGACGGTGGGATAGCAGCTGGCCCGGCCGGCCTCTGACAGGAGGGCACATCAGAGCTTCGTCTAGGAAGTGTTTGCTTCCCAGCAACCCCCCCAGAGGGCGGTGTGGAGGGGACTGGCCAGGCCAGGCTCTCAGGGGGCTTTTCTTCTCTCCCCGCAGGCCAGGGCCGCCGTGTCCCCGCAGAAGAGAAAATCCGATGGTAAGATCCACAGGGGTTGCCCCGCCCCCAGCCCAGCCCCCGGGAAGGAGCCCGGAGAGGCAGCGGCCGGTCGGACCCTGGCCAGAGTCGAGTCGGACAGCCCGGGCTGGAGGGCACTGGGGTTTGGGAGCGGCAGCCAGGGTGCGGGAGGGAGCTCTGAGCTGGTGGGTTAGGACGGGAGCTCCCCCGCGCCCGGACCCCAGCCGCTGGGGCGGCACCCAGCGGCTGATGGCCCACAGGTGAGGGCAGACCGGCCATTCCTCTTCCCCAGAGGACGTGGCTGCTCCCTCTTGTCTTGGCTTCCTCTCACCTCAGTGATTTCTCCTTCCCTCGGACCCCTAGGACCGTGACCCTGTGGTTCACAGCCAGCGGGGACCCTCGGAGCAACAGGCACCAAACCCGGATCACATCTTCCCACCAGAGGCAGGCGGACAGGCCTCGGTCTCCCCGCCGGCTCCGCATGCTGCTGCGGGCACTGCCCTCCAGCCCTCACCGGCCCGGACTCCTCTGCTCCTGCTCGGCTCCCACGCTGTGGCCCGAGCTGCCCTCGCCAGCAAGACTGAGCCCCTCATCCCCAACCAGCCCCTGCCTTCCCCCCGAAGGCCAGCCCCCGGCCCCTCCCTGGCAAAGACCTTCCTGCCGGCCCTGGACCTGGCTCCCAGTCACAGCCTGGGCGTGGGCCCTCTTCCTGGGAACTCGGAACCAGGAATTCTGTTTTGGGGACCTGTCCTGCCTCCTGCCATGCTGAGAAGGCGGGCTCCGGGTCTTCCCAAGGCAGGGGACGGAATTAAAGCTGCTCCTGGGGCTCTGCCGCGGCCCAACGTGTGTGATTTACCGTGCGAGGCGTCGGGGCTCCGTGAGGGTCTGAAACAGGCAGGCTCTCTGGGGCCCCGGGACCCCTCCCTCCCCAGCAGGAGCCTCCCCACTCCGAACTGGGGCACAGACGGCGGGACGGGGGCTCTCCGATGGCCCGTCCCCCAGCGGTGGGGGGCACAGATGGCGGGACAGGGGGGCTCTCCGATGGCCCGTCCCCCAGCGGTGGGGGGCACGGACGGCGGGACGGGGGCTCTCCGATGGCCCGTCCCCCAGCGGTGGGGGGCACAGACGGCGGGACGGGGGCTCTCCGATGGCCCGTCCCCCAGCGGTGGGGGGCACAGACGGCGGGACAGGGGGGCTCTCCGATGGCCCGTCCCCCAGCGGTGGGGGGCACAGACGGCGGGACAGGGGGGCTCTCCCATGGCCCGTCCCCCAGCGGTGGGGGGCACAGACGGCGGGACGGGGGCTCTCCGATGGCCCGTCCCCCAGCGGTGGGGGGCACAGATGGCGGGACGGGGGGGCTCTCCGATGGCCCGTCCCCCAGCGGTGGGGGGCACAGACGGCGGGACAGGGGGGCTCTCCGATGGCCCGTCCCCCAGCGGTGGGGGGCACAGATGGCGGGACGGGGGGGCTCTCCGATGGCCCGTCCCCCAGCGGTGGGGGGCACAGACGGCGGGACGGGGGCTCTCCGATGGCCCGTCCCCCAGCGGTGGGGGGCACAGACGGCGGGACAGGGGGGCTCTCCGCTGGCCCGTCCCCCAGCGGTGGGGGGCACAGACGGCGGGACAGGGGGGCTCTCCCATGGCCCGTCCCCCAGCGGTGGGGGGCACAGACGGCGGGACGGGGGCTCTCCGATGGCCCGCCCCCCAGCGGTGGGAGGCTGGGCCTGGACTGCCCGGTGCGGTGACAGTCTGAAGCAGCACGTGGCACAGGCGGATGCGGGGCCTCCGATGGAAGGGGGCTGGGTGCTCTGTGCACGGACCGGGTCATGCCTGCACCTGCCCGTCGCTCGGCAGATTGGCAGGGCCTGTGCGTGGGAGGCAGCCGGCAGCAGTGCCATGTGCCGCCACCTCACAGCCAGGCGCCCCTGCTTAGTGCTGTTTGTTAGAACCACCCCCAGAACCTCACTTAAGCAAAGGGGTTTGTTCCCATGGAGACAGGCATCCTTTCTCCATGGCAACCTGAAATCCCAAACACCAGTGGGACGGGAGTGAGTCATCGTGGCCATTGGGAGGCACCCTTTCACAAGGGGACCCCAAGGTGGACAGTTGAGCAACTGACCACAGACTGAAAGGTGCCCCAAGGGGTGGGGTGGGGGCGGGGCGGAGGCTTGGGCAGAGGGGGAGGAGGCAGGCCCCCTTAACCCCTTCCTTCCCACCCGGGGTCCGAGGCGGCTGCCGCGGGAGCTCAGAGGCGGCAGGCCTGCAGCCGGAGCACAGGCCGGAGGGATCCCTGCCCCCCAGCCGGGGCAGAGCCAGAGGGAGTGGTTAATGGACACACAAGAGTTAACTGGCGGGTGTGACCGGCCCGCCCTCAGGAAGTTACTCACCAGCGGGAATGCTCTGCCTGGGGCCGGACTGCCTTCCTGAGTCCCAGAAGTAACCGAGGAGCTCCCCGCCATGGACGCCCCCGGGGAGCCAGGCGCAGGCCCCCCCGGAGCCCCCGGCCCGTCAGACTCTGCGCCCCGGCTCCCGGAGGGAGAGAAGTTGGTGGAGCTGGAGGGCAGCCTGGGGGCGGGAGGGACCGGGCGGTGTCCCAGGGCGGGAGGGGGCCAGGGCTGGGCCGGGGGCTCAGACAGTGCCTGCCTCCAGGCCCTCCCAGGACCCGCTGTACGACGTGCCCGGAGCCGGCGGCGGGCAGGCCGGCGGGCCCCGGCGGCCGGGACGCGCGGTGAGCCTGCGGGAGCGCCTGCTGCTCACGCGGCCGGTGTGGCTGCAGCTGCGGGCCAACGCGGCCGCCGCGCTGCATGTGCTGAGGACCGAGCCCCCGGGGGTGAGTCTGCCGTCCGTGCCCGGACGGTCCCCCGGAATGGCCCCTGGACTGGTCCTCCCCCCGGACGGTCCCCCGGAATGGCCCCCGGACTGGTCCTCCCCCCGGGCTGGTCCTCCCCCCGGACGGGCCCCCGGAATGGCCCCTGGACTGGTCCTCCCCCCGGACGGTCCCCCGGAATGGCCCCTGGACTGGTCCCCCCCGGACGGTCCCCCGGAATGGCCCCCGGACTGGTCCTCCCCCCGGACGGTCCCCGGGACTGGCCTCCCCGGGACTGGCCTCCCCGGGACTGGCCTCCCCGGGACTGGTCCCCCCGGACTGGTCCTCCCCGGACGGTCCCCCGGGACTGGTCCCCCCGGACTGGTCCTCCCCCCGGACTGGCCTCCCCGGGACTGGTCCCCCCGGAATGGCCTCCCCGGGATTGGTCCCCCGGACTGGTCCCCCCCAGACTGGTCCCCCCGGGCTGGTCCCCCCGGGCTGGTCCCCCAGACTGGTCCCCCCGGACTGGTCCCCCGGAATGGCCCCCCGGACTAGCGCCCCGGGACTGGTCCCCCCGGGACTGGTCCCCCGGAATGGCCCTCCCCGGACTGGTCCTCCCCCCGGACTGGTCCCCCCGGACTGGTCCCCGGGACTGGTCCCCCCGGAATGGCCTCCCCGGGATTGGTCCCCCCGGACTGGTCCCCCGGGACTGGTCCCCCGTACTGGTCCCCCTGGACTGGCCTCCCCGGGATTGGTCCCCCCGGACTGGTCCCCGAGACTGGTCCCCCTGGACTGGCCTCCCCGGGATTGGTCCCCCGGACTGGTCCCCCCGGACTGGTCCCCCGGGACTGGTCCCCCTGGACTGGCCTCCCCGGGATTGGTCCCCCCGGACTGGTCCCCCGGACTGGTCCTCTCCCCGGACTGGTCCACCCCGGACTGGTCCCCTCCCGACTGGTCCCCCTGGACTGGCCTCCCCGGGACTGGTCCCCCCGGACTGGTCCCCCTGGACTGGCCTCCCCGGAACTGGTTCCCCCCGGACTGGTCCCCCCAGACTGGTCCTCCTCGGACTGGTCCCCCGGACTGGCCCCCCCCCGGACTGGCCTGCCCCCGGGACTGGCCGCAGAGGGGGAGGGAGAGGAGCGGGCACGGAGGTCCTGAGCGCCAGCCCCTCGGTCCTCAGACGTTCCTGGTGCGGAAGTCTAACACCCGCCAGTGCCAAGCTCTGTGTGTCCGGCTGCCGGAGGCCGGTGGCCCTTCCTTCGTGTCCAGCCACTACGTCCAGGAGCGCCCCGGGGGTGAGCGGGGTGGCCCGAGGGACGGGGCTGGAGCAGAGGCCGGGCCGGGGGGCCAGAGAACAGCCTCACTCCCGTCTCCCAGGCGTCTCCTTGGAGGGATCCGAGCTCGTCTTCCCGGACCTCGTCCAGCTCATCTGCGCCTACTGCCACAGCCGGTGAGCCCGCCCAGGTGCTGCAGGGGGGACACCCTGTCCTCCCGTCCCCCACCCCAGGCACCTCACTTACCTGCCCCCTCCGGCCTCAGGGACATCCTGCTGCTCCAGCTCCAGCTCCCCCGAGCCATCCGCCAGGCGGCCACCCACAAGGAGCTGGAGGCCATCTCCCATTTAGGCGTCGGTAAGGCCCCTGCGCCCATTGCACAGGTGGGCAAACTGAGGCCGGGGGAAGGGGAGGCGCTCCACACAGCCTGAGCCTGGATCTCGCCCTCCTCTGGGCACCCCCCCCCCCTGAGGCCCAGGTGGGTTCTCTTCTCCAGAGTTCTGGAGCTCCTCCCTCAACGCCAAGGCCCCGCCAGGCCCCTCCGAAGGCCCGCTGCTGCCCCGGCTGAAGCCGCGGTCCCCGCAGGAGCTGGACCAGGGCTCCGGGGCCGCCCTGTGCTTCTTCAACCCCCTGTTCCCGGGGGACCTGGGCCCCACCAAGCGGGAGAAATTCAAGAGGAGTTTCAAAGTGCGCGTGTCCACAGAGACCTCCAGCCCCCTGTCCCCGCCGGCCGTGCCGCCGCCCCCGGTCCCCGTGCTGCCCGGGGCAGCCTCCGGCCAGGCCACCGAGAGGACGCCCCCTCGACAGCTGCTGCGGAGGGAGAGCTCGGCGGGGTACCGGGTGCCAGGGGGCGCCGGCACCAGCCTCCCGCCCCTGCCCTCCCTGCAGGAGGTGGACTGCGGCTCCCCCAGCAGCTCCGAGGAGGAGGGGGCGGTGCAGGGCCGGCCGGGGAGCCCGGCCACCTCGCCCTGCCTGAGCCGCCGGCGCCGGCCGCTGCTGCGCTCGGTGAGCTCCGCCTTCTGCTCCCTGCTGGCCCCCGAGCGGCAGGTGGGCCGGGCGGCCGCGGCGCTGGTGCAGGACCGCCACTCGGCGGTGGGCCAGCTGGTGCAGGACCTGCTGACCCAGGTGCGCGCCGGCCCCGAGCCCCGGGAGCTGCAGGGGATCCGGGAGGCGCTGAGCAGGGCCCGGGTCATGCTGAGCGCCGAGCTGGGCCCTGAGAAGCTGCTGCCGCCCACCAGGCTGGGTGAGACTCCAGCCCCGGCTTTCTCTCAACCTCAGTCAGCTCTTCCCCGGCCTCTCCCTCCCCTCCCCTCCCCTCCCCTCCCCTCCCCAGGCCGCCTGTCCCCCCTTCACCAAATTTCATTCCCCACTTCTCCCCCCCGCTGTCTCACAAGGTCCCGCCTCCCCCTCACCCCTGTCCCGCTGGACTCCGCGCCCCCCCCCCCCCGCCCTGGTCCCTGGCCCCTGGCCCCCCTGCCCTGGCCCCCGGCCCCCGCCCCCTGGCCCCTGGCCCCCCTGCCCTGGCCCCCGGCCCCCGCCCCCTGACCCCCTGCCCTGGCCCCCGGCCCCCGGCCCCCGCCCCCTGACCCCTGACCCCCTGCCCTGGCCCCCGGCCCCCGCCCCCTGACCCCCTGCCCTGGCCCCCGGCCCCCGGCCCCCGACCCCTGACCCCCGACCCCCGACCCCCGCCTCCCCGCAGAGCGCGTCCTGGAGAGGTCCCTGCACCGCTCGGTGCTCAAGCCCCTGCGGCCGCTCCTGCTGGCCCGCCTGCGGCGCCGGCTCTCCGCCGACGGCTCCCTGGGCCGCCTGGCCGACGGCTGCCGCCTGGCCCGCGCCCAGGGCCCCGCCGCCTTCGGGTCCCGCCTGAGCCTGCCCGCCCCGGCCGAGACGGAGCAGGTGCGCCAGAAGCTGCTGCAGCTGCTCCGCGCCTACTCACCCAGCGCCCAGGTCAAGCGGCTCCTGCAGGCCTGCAAGCTGCTCTACACGGTCCTGAGGACGCACTTGGGTACACTCCCTGCCCCTGCCACCCCCCACCCCCATCCCCCGCCATCTCACCCCCCACCTCCCCCCCACCCCCCCACCCCCGCTGGTCCCCGCCGCCTCCCCCGCCTCCCCCGCCGGCCCCGCGGTCAGAGGCAGGCCCTCCGGCGGGTGGGGGAGGCACAGCTGGGGAAGGTGGGCCCCGCCCTCCCAGCTCACAGGCGCCTCACTGAGGCCCGGGGGGTGCAGCCCCCTCTCCGCTCGCTGGCGGTGCCCCAGGCCTGGCCGGCGGAGGGAGGGTCGCTGTCCAAGGCCAGGAGGCCCTGAAGCCCCCCCCTCCCCCCAGGAGAGGGCGCCGGGGCGGACGACTTCCTCCCGCTGCTGAGCCTGGCCCTGGCCCACTGCGACCTCCCCGAGCTGCTGCTGGAGGCGGAGTACATGTCCGAGCTGCTGGAGCCCGCCCTGCTCACCGGGGAGGGTGAGGGTCCCGCCGCCTCCCGCCCTGCTCACCCGGGAGGGTGAGGGCCCCCCCCCCCCCGCCCTGCTCACCGGGGAGGGTGAGGCCCCCCCCCCTCCCGCCCTGCTCACCGGGGAGGGGGAGGCCCCGCCCCCACCTCCCGCCCTGCTCACCGGGGAGGGTGAGGGCCCCCCCCCCTCCCGCCCTGCTCACCGGGGAGGGTGAGGGCCCCGCCCCCGCCCTGCTCACCGGGGAGGGTGAGGCCCCGCCCCCACCTCCCGCCCTGCTCACCGGGGAGGGTGAGGGCCCCCCCCCCTCCCGCCCTGCTCACCGGGGAGGGGGAGGGCCCCCCCCCCCCCCCCCGCCCTGCTCACCGGGGAGGGTGAGGCCCCGCCCCCACCTCCCGCCCTGCTCACCGGGGAGGGGGAGGCCCCGCCCCCCCCTCCCGCCCCGCTCACCGGGGAGGGTGAGGGCCCCCCTCCCCCCGCCCTGCGCACCGGGGAGGGTGAGGGCCCCGCCCCCGCCCTGCTCACCGGGGAGGGTGAGGCCCCGCCCCCCCCTCCCGCCCTGCTCACCGGGGAGGGGGGGGCCCCGCCCCCACCCCCCGCCCTGCTCACCGGGGAGGGTGAGGCCCCGCCCCCGCCCTGCTCACCGGGAAGGGTGAGGCCCCGCCCCCGCCCTGCTCACCGGGGAGGGTGAGGCCCCGCCTCCCGCCCTGCTCACCGGGGAGGGTGAGGCCCCGCCCCCACCTCCCGCCCTGCTCACCGGGGAGGGGGAGGCCCCGCCCCCACCTCCCGCCCTGCTCACCGGGGAGGGTGAGGCCCCGCCCCCGCCCTGCTCACCGGGAAGGGTGAGGCCCCGCCCCCGCCCTGCTCACCGGGGAGGGTGAGGCCCCGCCTCCCGCCCTGCTCACCGGGGAGGGTGAGGCCCCGCCTCCCGCCCTGCTCACCGGGGAGGGTGAGGCCCCGCCCCCGCCCTGCTCACCGGGGAGGGTGAGGGCCCCGCCGCCTCCCGCCCTGCTCACCGGGGAGGGGGAGGCCCCGCCCGCCCTGCTCACCGGGGAGGGTGAGGCCCCGCCTCCCGCCCTGCTCACCGGGGAGGGTGAGGCCCCGCCTCCCGCCCTGCTCACCGGGGAGGGTGAGGCCCCGCCCCCGCCCTGCTCACCGGGGAGGGTGAGGGCCCCGCCGCCTCCCGCCCTGCTCACCGGGGAGGGGGAGGCCCCGCCCGCCCTGCTCACCGGGGAGGGTGAGGCCCCGCCTCCCGCCCTGCCCCCCGGGGAGGGTGAGGGCCCCCCCCCCCCCCCGCCTCCCGCCCTGCTCACCGGGGAGGGGGAGGGCCCGCCCCCCGCCCTGCTCACCGGGGAGGGGGAGGGCCCGCCTCCCGCCGGGCGGGGGGAGCAGGACAGGGGGCAGCGTGTCACCCAGCCCCCTCCTCACCCTCCCCTCCCCGTGTCCCAGGCGGCTACTACCTGACCAGCCTCTCGGCCAGCCTGGCCCTGCTGAGCGGCCTGGGCCGGGCCCCCGCGCTGCCCCTGAGCCCCTCGCAGGAGCTGCAGCGCGCCCTCAGCCTGTGGGAGCAGCGCCGCCCGCCCGCCACCCGCAGCCTCCAGGTAACGGGCCCTGCCACCCCCCGGACAGGCCCGGCGGACAGGCGGGTCCTGCGCCCCCTGCACAGAAGCAGCGCCCCACGCAGAGCATCGGGAGAGAGTGCGTCCCAGGTGCCGGCGCTGCCCAGGGCTCTAGGCGCTCAGCCCGAATCCTCAGAGATAGGCCATCGCTGCCCCATTTCACAGAGGAGGAAACGGAGGCGTGGCCTGGAAAGGGATTGGACACGGGGAAGGCTGAAGCCTCAAATCCTGGCTTCCAGCCCCAGCGGGGCCCCTCCGCTCCCTCACCAGACACCATCCCTGACCTCCACGTCCCCGCCGCCCTCCTCAGACTGGGTGAAGAGGCCACACTGTAGCCAGGTCCTGGGCCCAGATCCGGGCTCTGCTCCTTTGGGGTTGTGGGAGCTTGAGCAAGTTCGGTAACTAATTTGAGCCTCAATTTTCTCATCCATAAAATGGGACAGTAGGACCTACCTCCTGGGACTGATAGGATTAAATGAGCTAAAACCAGGGTGCATGCTCAGGACACAGTTAGCTCCATCTGAGTGTGCGGGCCAGGCTGCCTGCGTGTGACCCAGCAGCCTCAGCACATCCCTCCCCTCCTCGGGGCCCCCTAGGGCTCACCTTGTTCAAAGGCTGTTTCCAGTTGGTTCTGCAGAGCCGAAACCCGGGCCTCGAGCTCTGCAACCACATACGCTCCAGGCGAGGCTGAGTTTCTGTTTCCCTGCACAGCGCCTCCTCCGGGTGGCCTACCAGGACCCCGGCAGCGGCTGCACCTCCAAGACCCTGGCCGTGCCCCCCGGGGCCTCGATTGCCACCCTGAACCAGCTCTGTGCCGCCAAGTTCCGGGTGGCCCAGCCGGACGCCTTCGGCCTCTTCCTGTACAAGGAGCAGGACTACCACCGCCTGCCCCCCGCAGCCCCGGCCCACCGGCTGCCCACGGCTGGCTACCTCGTCTACCGCCGCCGGGCGGAGCGGCCGGAGCCCCTGGCCGCCTCCCTGGGGGCAGCAGCGGAGGCGGGCAGCGGGGAGCCAGAGGCGGGAGGCGGGGAGGAGGGGGCGGGCAGGGAGACGGGGACATCGAGGCCAAAGCCAGCCCCTGTGACAGCTGCTGGGCAGGAGGAGAGCCAGGCGGGGGGAGGCCCTGCTCAGCCAGGCGCGCCGGAGGCTGAGGGAGGCCGGGCAGCAGAGGAGTAGCTGGGATGGCCGGGGGCACTGGGGGCAGAAAAGGAGCCTGCTGAGAAGGCCTTCCGAGGCCCCAGCCCCCCTCACTCTGAGCTGCCATGCCTCTGACACTCATCTCTGCCCGCCTGCGGGGGAAGCGCCTGGACAGCCGCACCTGCGGCCTCGGAGTGAAGAGGGGCCTGGGGGCCCCAGACCAAGGCCCAGGGCCCTCTGCCTCTGCCGCTCTGCCTGGCCGGCCGGCGGCCCTCCACGCTGGGCTTTAAGGCCGTGGAGGACTCCGCCTGCCCCGGGTGTGAGGACTCAGGAGGCAGCAGGGGCTGGGGCCAGCCCTGCTCCAGGCCCCTGGGGGGCTGGACCTCCAAACCCCAGCGCCCTCACATGCAAAGTGGGGGCGCAGTGCCAGCCTGTCTGCTCCCAGAGCGGAACTAGGCCAGGGGAGAGGGAGGGAGGGAGGTGGGGTGTCCGCCTCGCCCCCTCCAAGGGTCAAGGGTCGTTCGCTGCCCTTGCTGAGGCTGATCCCCCAGTGGAGACCCCGAGGGCAGGTCCCGCTGGAGGGAGCAGCACCCAGTTCCATCTTTCCCAGGATGGACCCTCCTCCCGGGCCTCGGGGCCTCGCGGGGGGCCTCCGGGGGGAGGGGGGGCGGGGACGTGGGCAGGAAGGCGGCTTTCAGATGGTCCGGGGAGGGCCAGGAAACCATTTCTCTGCCCTTCACTCCTCGGACCTCTCAGGAGCGTTAGGGAGTTAGTGCTCTTACCCACTGAGTCCGGGAGAGTGCCTCCTGAGTGCCACACCGAGGCCATTAGGGGCCCCACCCCAGCCGGGCATCAGGTTCCCGCTACTCCGAGCCCTGCTGAGCCACCAGGAAGTTAACCTCACGGCCCCACAGAGCAGGCAGCAAATCTGAGCAAAGAAAGTGCCGGCGGCAGCCGCCAGGGGGCGAGAGTGGCCCAGGAAGCCGCTGAGTGGGTGCCGAGGGGAGGGTGGCTCCCAGGCTTTGCGCGGGCAGCCAGCCACGGGGCACTGGGGGCAGCAGGGCTGAGGCGGGGGCCCTCAGCTGCCTCGGGGTCAGCGGCCGGACCCAGCCAGCCTCGCCGGGACCACCACCTGGGAAGGAACTGTCCGTGGCTGGAGGAGGACCCAGCCCGCTGCACACCAAGGGACATGGCCCGCTCCTCGGAGGGGACGGCTGGGGGTGGGAGGCCTGGACATGGGGCAGACAGACCAGCCAGATGCAGCCCGGGGGCGGGGCTCCCAAATTCCCACTTCCACCCTCTCCCCCAGCTTCTCCCCGCTCAGGGACTCTCCGCTTGGGGCTTTTGTGTGCCTCTCCCCCGCCCCACTCCCACCCCCACCCCCACCCCCAGCCTCGCTCAGTGCTGGACACTCCTCAGGCTCAATAAACACTGTCCTCTGACCGGAGTTTGGTGACACCGAAGGGCGATGGGTGGGGAGCTGGGAGGTCAAGGGAGGGCTGGGGCTGGGAACCAACCAGGGTGCTGCAAGTTCAGAGGGGGAGGAGGGCCTGGGGGCGGCAGGCACTCGGAGAGCCCGGGCCGGATGGGGAGCAGACCCTGGGCCTGGCGGAGGCTTCTGGGCTGTCTCGGGGCCTCTGCACGCCGCTCTCGCCCCTTCCCCCGCGGAGTCCTGGTTCCTGGCTCTGGGAGTTCAGCACCGCGGGCGCGCACACCACACACACACTCACACACACACCAACACACACACACCACACACATACACACACACTCACACACATACATACACACACACACCCCACACCACACACATACATACACACACACCACCACATACACACACATACATACACACACCACCACATACACATATACACACACACCACACACATACACACACACTCACACACATACACACACACACCCCACACCACACACATACATACACACACACCATACATACACACACACCACACACACACATACATACACCACCACATACACACACACCACCACATACACACACCATACCACACACACACACACACACCACACATACACACACCACACACATACATACACACGCATCACATACATACACACACACCACCACACACACACACACCACCACACACACACACACATACACACACTCACATACACACACCACACACACATACACACACACCACATACATACCACACACATATACACACCCACACACACATACATACACACACACATATATATATATACACATACACACACACACACACCATACACACACACACCACCACCACCGCCCCGCAGTGGCTCAGGCTCAGCAGAGCACTGCCAGGCCCTGCCTCCTCCTGGGTGTTTGTCTTCTTAAGAGATTCTGGCTCAGGTCGGGCAGGTAAATCAGCATAAACAAGGGTCACCATGCAGGTGTTGGGACTCTGGGCAGGGAAGGCACCGATAGGCTGGCCTAAGACTGATCTCGTTATCCCCATTTTACAGGTGAGCAAACTGAGGCTTGCTCAGGGAAAGGGGCTTGTTACAGGGCTCGAACCCCAGGGTCTGTGGGTCCACAGAAGGACTCTTTACTCATCCCCTCGGCAATCATCTATGGGGTGTCTGTCTGGACCAAGCACCCCGGCCAGAGGGAAATGTGATGTAACCCCCATCTCACAGAGGACGCCTCAAAAAAAGTCGAATTACGGAGTCATTTACTAAAAGCCAGCGGCAGAGGAGGGAGCGAAAGCACTCCGGACCTCGCAGCCGGGCAGCTCACCACGCCTGGCTCATGTTGGCAGAAAATCACAAGGGTATCGATGACATCTTTGGGTCTGGAATGAGGAACCTGTTTCCAGAGAAAAAGCGTTTTCACAGAAGCAGAATCTGAGAGGCTTAGCTATCTCGGAATCACTGAATCACCGGAAACGCATCACCATTATCTGGGCCACCTGGACAACTGAGCGTAAACGATCCAGATTCTGGGATCCCTGAGTCAGCAGGAACACGCCATCTGAAGCCTTTTAGGATGATCTGAGTCGGGGACCACGGAGTCGACCGGAACTCAGTTATCTGTAGCTGCTGTGAGGATGTAGGCAGGTAACTGAGCGCCCGGAGGAATGTCCCGATGACCAGTGAGGTCACAATCCATGGGACATGCAAACCATCACCACGGAGTATGGGATGGCATACCTGGGCTCCGAAAATCAAAATAACTTTTAAATGAGGACAGAACCCAAAGCAGCAAGGTTAGAATATTAAACAGCAATGTTTACCCAAGGGTGGCTGCCACCATCCTCAGAGACTGATGAGGTCTGGGGAGGAATCAGAGTCTGCGCCTGGCGGAGGAGGCGGGCTCTGCGAGGGCCACGCCTGCCGGGGTCCAGGGCGCCTGGACCTCGCAGGAGCTCCCACTCCCTCCCTCCCCGGCAGCCGCCGCAGGTCCCTGAGGGCTTGTCCATTGTCTGTCTGCCCCGCCGGAAGGCCGCGGCCAGGTCGGCCTGGTTCCCGTAAGCCTGGGGCCTGAACAATGTCGGCCGGAAGCTGGCACTTGGAGCCGAGTAAGGCCCCGGGAAGACTCTGCCTGGACGGTCCTCGCAGCTCCGGGCGCGGGCAGTGCATTCTCCTCCGCCACCGCCAGGCGGCGAGCGCGCGCCGCTCCGGGCCTCCAGCCCGGCCCCCGCTCACCTGGGGCCGCCCGGGGGCAGGGTGCCCAGAGGACCAGCCCCGCCTGATGCGGGGAAGGGGCAGCCCTGCAGCGGGGCCGGGGCCAAGCCAGGGACCGTCCTGCAAACGGGGATCCCGAGGCCAGAGGTCGGAACGTGCTGAGGGAGGGGCTGCCCACTGCCAGGGCTTAATGGGCCAGGCGGGCCCGGGAGTCAGGGCGTGTGGGCTGGCCCGAGGGCCCACTGGGGGGGGGTGGGCAGGAAGGCAGTCCACGACCCCACCCTGACCCACCTTCAGCACCGAGCGCTCAGCACCCTGCCTGGCTTCCAGGCCCAGGCCCACACCCAGAAGCACCCTGACTCACACTCGCTGTGGGTGACGCCTGCCTGCCACTCCTGTGAGGAAACCCGGGCCAGAGTGCTGGGGGCACCCTGACAGGGTCACTGTGCCCTGCCGGACGGACACGGGCACACACCGGCCCCCCCCTCCGGCCCACAAACATCCTGGACCTTCAAATTCAGCTACTTCCCCTGGGGCTCAGACTGTGACTCCCTCACACACACACACACACACACACACACACACGGACAGGCTGACACACATGTGGTGACCTGCTACACAGAAACCTCACAACACACCTAGCGGTGCAGGACTGCCTGGCGCACCGGTCCCTGCTCAGGCACGGCACACAGGCACGGACACCGAGGCCCTCACAGGCACAGACTCAGAGACACACGCGCACTCCTTATGCTTCTGATCGCACAGAAGAGAGCCAAGCCCTTCGGACTAACCTCACTCCCAGCCCGAGCCTATGCCAGCCACCACTCAGCCACCCTGCCCCATGGTGGGGGCTGGAGCTGCTGGGAAGACCCCTGTGTGGGGGGCGGCGAGCCCCCTGGCCAGGCGGAGCAGGAGCGGCCGCTGGGTGGGGAGCCTGAGCTCATCAGATTCCAGCCGGGGTGATTCACCGGAAGGGCCTGGGGAGGACGGAGGATGGGGGGGCAGGCTCAGGGACTGGGACTTCGGGGGCCTAGGTCCTGGGACTTCGGGGGCCTAGGTCCTTCAGACCACAGGGTCCTGGTCCAGAGCAAGCCTCTGTCCGGGAGAGGGGCTTCCGAGGGCGGCCCCGCCTGAAGGCCTGGCTCGGGGAGGGCTGGGGACCAGAGAAGAGCCAGGATGAGACAATGGGCCCCGCCCGCCCGCCCGGCCCCTGACCCCCGCCTCCCAGCCCAGCAGCTGGGTGTCTTCAGGGGTGAGGCCAAGGGCGGGGGCAGGGGTGGGGTGACCTCCATGACCATTTTGGCCCCGTGGGCTCTCAGCCCGAGTGGCCCCCAAGGCCCTGAGGGGCTGGGCCCGCGTGGCCCTGCCAGGCCCTGGGTTAGAGACCCCGCTGCCTGCCCGAGCAGCCTCTGCCAGAGCCCAGAGGATGTTTTCCTGCCAGGCCCCTGATGCTGAGGACCGAGCCGCTGTGCGCTGTGCGGGTGACAGGAAGAGAGCACGGGGCTGGGCAGAGCGGGGCGCAGGAAGTGCCTTTCTTGGAACTCTGCACCAAAATAGCCGCCTGTCCCCTCTCCGGGTCTCAGTGTCACCGCGGGAGGTTGGTGTCTCCAAGGAGACCTTCCCCGGGGAGGGGCCGGACTGACCCGAGTCTGGCTTTCGCCGCCACCTCCCCCGCCTCCCACCCGCGGCCCCCCCATCCCTGCCTCAGGCTCCGCTCCGCTTTGAAGTCCTAACATAAATATCATGTCTGCTTGCGTTCCCCTTCCCTGCCGGTCACAGCCCCCAGCCCTGGCTCCCGCCCCGCCGGCCAGCTCCCTCCGGGGGTGTGTGCCAGGGCCGGGGAGGGAGCCGGGACCACCCAGGGAAGGTGGTGAGCCAGGGACCCTGGTTAGGATCGGGGAGCAGAGTGGGCAGGACACCAGATGGAGAGGGGAGACAGGGGCCAGAAATCCACCAGGTGACAGTCCGGGGACAGGGCAGGG